AAATGAGATGACCAGAGGGAGCATCTAACTGGAACTGCTGCAGGATTTGCAAAGACAATGCAAGCATTACACATAATCATGGCATATGCAAGCATCTCTGGGAGACAGTCTGACTCGGTCCCAGAAGAGGACAGTACAGTGAGCATCACAATAAAACATGGAGTGGGCCACCCTGAAGGCCTGACTGCCCAGTGCAGGTAAAGTTCTGTCCTCACTACACTGCAGTCCTGTACATCCGCAGGAGCATGATGAAAACTTTCGAAACACTGTGTGAAGGACACAGAGACATGGGGTGGGTGTCTGCTGTTGGAATGACTCGCTGAACAGCCAGGTTGCCATAAACCTTCCATGTGTGAAAATCACAGCATCTGCACAGCGCACTAAAGCAAAGCCCAAGGAGGCATGCCTGTGGATTCACTGTTAGCATTTGAGGTAGTATTTGGCACTGTGGGCCACGCTTTTTCTTTCCTAATCTCTCTCCATGCATCAAGCAAGTTGCAGCTCAACCAATTTTCCTTTTAATGCCACTGGGTGATATTTGAAATTGGAGCCAACCCATCCTCTTGGACAGACCTTAGCTATTTAATTTAAAAGTTCGCGGTGTATCAGCATTTAAATGTTGAGCACCGAGTTCGCAGAGGGCGATGGAAGGCAGCCCACATCCATTTGCAGAGTCCCCACGTGGGTGAAGGCTCCACTGAATTCTTTCCTATCGTTAACCAAAGAGTTAGGTCATCTTGCCCTCGGGCAGATGCTTGGGAAAGGAGATTACCTCCGGTCCCCTCCAGCTACACCAGGGAGGGGCAATCTCTCTTAGGGAATTGTGGGCTGTGTCCTTGATGGAGGCCACCTCAGTGGGGACAGAACTGGGGGATCAGATAGTCATGAGTCATCCCCTCCGAGGCTCCTCCTGACAGCCCTGGTCAGAGGACCCCGGACCACTCTTGTAACCCCTTCTCATTCATGGTCCGGTTCCTGCCACCTGTGGCTGTGATGTATCGATCTGCCATCAATCGTGCTTTTGGGACAGTTTCCATTGCCCCCTTCCATGTCCTTTTTTAAAGCTCTGTATGGCAACAAACCCTCAGATGCCATTTTGACCTCCTGCGAATGGCCTCTGTCGTCTGCATGCTGTGTCTGTCTGTGTCTTTGTGTTGTCTTTGTCTCGTCTCTTTTTAAGACTCAATACGTGTTGTTGTTGTTGTTGTCAGGTGCCACTGAGCCCAGTCCAACCCATAATGACCCTATGCACAACAGAATGAAACACTGGCTGGTCATGGGCCATCGGTTGTTACATCTCTTGTTACAGCCATGGTATCCATCCGTCTCCTTGCAGCCTTCCTCTTTTACAGGGCCCCTCTACGTTACCAAACATGATGCCCTATGCCAGGGACTGGTCGGTCCTGCTAACCTGTCTGAATTGTCTAAGACTCGTCTGTCGGTTTGTTGAACGGTGGTGGCTTGTGTGGTGCCGTGCTACTGGAAGCGATGTCACTGGCATCTCATTTGGGTCCCCCAACGGGAGCAGGTGTCAGCGGAGCTTCCAGACCAAGAACCAACAACAATGACAAAGCCTTGTCTCCACGCTTCCCAGGAAGGAGCCTCTGAAAACCCTATGCATAGCTAATAAATAGTCTCCTTAAATCATATTTGCACTGGGGGTCTCTTGTGTTGCCTAAAACAAAAAGAAAAGTTCCATCTGGAACTTAAAAAAAAAAAAGAAGCAAGTTATCTCTATTGCTCTTCAAGAAATACATTGAACCAGCAGAGGCGACCGGCCAAACTCGGGCTCTCCAAGACATGGAAGCCAATCACTGTACGCATTAGTTCATCCCAGGCTCACTCAACAACGCCGCAACTCTACCTTTGATTCATGTCCGTGGCTCAAGCTTAAGACGGGAAAAGAAACTTACCCACTAGAGTGTCTTTGCCCTGCTTCTCAGGGGAGGCCGCTCCGGAATCCATCTCATTCTTGAGATGCTGTTATCCTTGGCGAACGTTCCTGCGCTGGGGGCCGAGGCTGCGTCGCCGCAGGCAGCCACCCCGAGGTGTCTGGAGAGGAGAAGAGTAGACACAGAGTGACAGTGTGGGTGAGTGAGAGGCGTTCCTTCTCTCGAGCGTACACCCTAAGGAGTCGTCACCTTGGTGAAGAAAGTCTGTTTACAGAATACAAACCAAACAGACTTCGTTCCTGAACTCAGACTGCCTTTGTTCTCAAAGAAAATTCAAAAGACTGGGACCTGCACCACCAGCTGTCTTGTCAGTTTGTCGCACTGGGATGGCTTGTGTGTTGCTATGATGCTGGAAGCTTTGTCACCAGTATTTCAAATGCCA